TCTAGTCATGGTTCCGAACCACTATGGAGTTAGCGATCTCCGTGATCGTGAATGAGGTGTAACCTTCACACTCGTGAACGGTTTTCAAGTTCCTAAAACTTGTTGGCGACTCTTTTATCTCTAGCTTCCTTCCTTTTGGACGCCACCATGCCTAAAAGCATGATCACAGTGGGACTCAAAATTGATGTTTGAAATATTCCCTACAACTATCAACCTTTCCCGTCGAGGTCAAAGGCAACGTCGAGGAGGGCAAGGAGTATTCGAATCTCGCAAAGGAAGAATTGTGACTGATTGGGGAAAGTATTAAGGATGTGTTTAGGTTAGACTAAGAACATGAAAAATCAAGAGAGAGAGAGAGAATATTAGAAAGGGTATTGATGATGATTGTTGGTGCTTGAAAACGGGGTGATACGACCTCTATTTATAAAGGAAAAAAGAGAGTCGAAGTGATCAGAAAAGATCAGAATCCGAATTGGACTAAAACAAGTCTCATTGCGGCGCGATATGTTTATCGCGACACGACAGGTCCATCGCGGCGCGATGGTTCTGTCGTTCTGCGATGGTTTTGGAAAGATAAGAATTCGTACGGAGTTTGATTCCCAATCGGATTGGGTTAACCAAATATCCATACGTATTCTATTTTGACCGGGATTAGGATCATCAAAAAAGAGATGTTTTATTCGGTATCAAATTCTTAAATATTTATCTTTCAAAAACAGGATAAATAAGAACCTTCTAGAGGATTCTAGAAGCTCATGATAAATCTTAACGGATTTAGGATTGAAAACAAACTTTTAGAGGATTCTAGAAGCTTGTAATAAATCCTAATTGTCTTAGGAATGAGATTAAGGTATTTGGACCCTCCTCATGATCATTGGGCCGTAGGTAAGACTTGGTTCGGACTTGGTTTAGTATTTTGGTCATAAATTCTTCGTTATAAGTCGGATCTGGGCTTAATATATCGTTGAAAAACTCTTTTCAAGCCCCATCTAACTAAACAATAATTGGACCAGAATTATGGACCAAAATAGACTGGTTTGGGCGTTTTTATAAATTAGACACGAAATGAATGATTTTGGGGACACGAAATGAATGTTTTTGGGTTAAAACATTTTAGGAAGGTTAGGAATATGGGCAAGGTTAAGGAAACTTCACGAGACTCTTCAACTCTTCACTGAACACGTAAATTAGAACGTGAAAGGTACTCATCACTGGGTTTGGTTTTTGGGGAGACACAATCAGGTGTCTATAGCCGAGGAAAGGTATCCCACGTAATTTTGGTATTTGTACTTATCTATCCATACTTTTCTATGTTAAAAACATTCCTAAAAATTTCGATGTGCAACATGTACCCTATTCTCGCTCTAGCATTACACCATATCATCATTCAATTATTTTTTTGATTTGAACACTATCTTACTCCCTTCGTACTTAATTAATTGCTCCACTTTCTTTTTGTGGCCGTATTAAATAATTGCTCCATTTCCTCTTTAAAGACTATTAACAATATTTTACTATTTTCCTATACCCTAGTGGTCCCCTCATATCATGAAAGTGCAACTGGTACACAAGAAGGGGGGCTTGAATTGAGTACGTAAACAATAGTGAACTTATTAGACAATTTCTTGAACTAAAGGGGTACCGGTAGATGCTGGTTTTTGCACAACAAAAATAGAAATAATGAGAACACACAGATTTACCAAAGTTCATCTCAACCCAAAGCCTACGTCCTCTCTACCCTAATTACCCTTATTAATCAACTCAGAAAAACAAATCAATTACAATGATTGTTCATCTAACTCAAGCTAAACAATCCCCACACCTAACTATAGGTATCATTCGCACTTGAAATCACAAGCACTCGCACTTGAACTCACAAATGCTACACGATAACCAACCTCTTAGTGATTCAATACAACACACAGATTTCCTTGATATGCTTTATTACAATGTAGAAGTAAAAGACAATACAAATTGTTCTAAAGTGTGTGTACAAATAATTGTTATAACTGCTGAACTGTTTCTCAGGAATGTTTTGAGCTTTTCAATTAATCTCTCAATGCGTGAAAAGCGTCAGCTCAAAACATAGAAATGTGTTTATCATTTTTACTACTTAGGGGATCGAATAAATCACTCTGTAACCTAGAAGGTCATATCTTAGGTTGATGACCTTTTCCTTAAAGCTAAACTCGCATGAAGGAAAACATCTTCGTCTATATTATTATGTACGTTTCCTAAAATTGATCCAACATATGCGCAATGATTTATCCCCTAAACAGAAATAAACACGATTTCACTTAATTGGAGCACTTAACTAAACCATCCATACAACTTATAAAAGGAAGATCAACTAATTAAAAATACAAGTTATTATTTTTTTTTCATCTAACAGCACTAAATAATCTATACTAATATATTAAAAAAAATTCTCTACGAGATTTGAACGTACAACCTTTAATTTTAAAATTAAATGTCTTAGCACCAAACAATGTGATATTTTTTTGTTATGTTTTGAATACAACATATTATATTAATAATCAACATCATGTAATGATTCAGGGCATTGCTTGGCACCAAATACTAATTGATCCGAGTTATTATATTGTATTATTACTCCCTCCGTCCCTTAATTTTTGCCCCATTGCAAAAATATGGGTCAAAATTTTAAAATTTTGACCATGAATTCTCGTTAATCTATAAGTGATAATATATTCATGTAGATTTTGTTAGAATCATCTCATTGTATAGTTTATTAATATCAAATTTTTATAATTTTTACGCGTATAGAAATGGAGATATATACGTTTAAAGATGCGTCTTGGGGACCGTAAAAAGTCAAATGGGGCAAAAAATAAGGGACAGAGGGAGTAGTATTTATCAATAACTAATACTAAAGTAATCACCGCTGACATCACTACTGCCATGTGTCAGCTTCTTATTAAAAAAATTCCATTCAAAATTATATATGACATCATCCTTTTTATTTTTTTTCTCCATTTCAAGTTTAACGCTAATGCTTAAAAAGTAGATTAATTTTCCTAAAAGCTTTTATGACTAAATTTACTAACTACAAAATTTCCTATGGAGGTAAAAAAAATAATAATATAATTGGTGGTTGGTCTCTTTTGTTTTCCTTCATTCCTCCTAAATACTACATTTTTTTCCCGCTATATTTTATCAGTGATGATATGAGTTTGAATATTCTACTCTTTATAATTTCCTCAAATCTATTTACTATTACTAAAACAAAACGTACGGATGTCATCAATTTTTAAAGTGTCTTATGTGTCAAGTTCTCATTAAAAATTTCCCTTCAAACTTCAATATGATGTCATCAAATTTTTTTTTCCCTTTCATTTTACTTGCTAGAAATTAGGACAAAGGAGGTATGAAACTAAAAATCAAAAACTTGAATTTTGTATCAATGTTGTTGTATACTCCGTACTAATTTTGGATATTCCTAATACAGTGCAACAATATTTAATAGATATAGATACTGTGTCTTTAACTTCCACTCTAAACGTATAAGCTCAATAGATAATGCAACATTAAATATATTTTGTCTAACCATCATTTTAATATATTTTCAATAACATAGTAAATATTATGATGTAGCATAAAAAAATAACCATTAAAAAAGGATTATGTACATATTTTTTTATATTTATAAAAAACATCTTTATACAAAAAAAATTAAAAAAAAAATTAAAAAGTTATCAACAACAAAAGATATACAAAAAAATATTAATTAAATTACTTATCACCACTGTATAACGCGCGGGTACTAATCTAGTTTTTTATGATTAAACAAAAACCACTAAAGTGATATAATGCTAACATTTCATATATTTTATTTTTATTATGAAGTTAATTAGAATATTTAACATTTTAACTCAATCTAATATATCATATCATATATAACTAATATATAAAGTTAAACCTTTAGCCAGGCCACGAGACAGCGACACTTGGCGTTTCGACTTTTCGCCAATTGTCACAGCACGTAGACAACAATAAAATATTATTATGACACGTAGGATTTATTTGGATAGATTTTTTTAGTAGGATAAAAACTTGATAGATTTTGTAGGATAAAAAAGTTAGTTTACAAGGGGAGTTTTTTCCCGAGTTTTTAGAGCGCCAAGTAGGATTTTAATTTTTAAAAAAATATTAGAGCGCCACTTAGAATTAATATTATTAAAACGCTACAATTGGATTATGCCAGGTAAGATTAGTTTTTTTTAAAGCGCTACGTAGGATTATAATAAAAAAGCGCCACGTAGGATTAATAATTTTATAACGCTACAATAAGATTATACCACGTAAGATTAATTTTAGAGCGTCGCATAGGAAAATGTTATATTTTAGCCAATGAAAAAAAGAATTGCAATTTATTTTAAATCAAAATTTTTATATTAATTATAAAATAAAATCAGCGCGTTTTTTATGTGGCGGATCATATCGTGTGGCCAGCTGAGATACACTCAAACACTGACCGAGTAATCCATGACCGTTCGAGTAACCCCTGATCGATTGAGTAGCCCATGATCTTCCAAGTAACTTCTGACCAAGTAATCCCGACCATACGGTGTGACCAGCCACATATGAAATTTTGTGAAATAAAATATTATCCTTTTATATTACAAATTTTATCTAAATATGAGAAACAAAGTTAATAATTTATTTTATAATAAAAAATTCAAGTAGTAAGCAAGCGAATATCACAAAGTTTATTAGATAAATTTATATTTAGTGAAATATTTTATTTGAAAAAATACAAATAAACCGTATATCGCAAGGATTTCATCTAATTTATCTAATAAACAGATAATTTTTTCTTATATTTTTTCTTAAATTATTTATATTGCGCACTTAAAAAGCAAATGATTTAGTGTTAAAACTGTGTATTGTACGGGACTAATATAGTATACATAATAATTATTGTAACACCCGGAGCAACCTCCGCCGTCTGGGTCACACAAGTTTCTTAAAATAAAACCCTAACAAACCATTTATCAATTATCATCAATCTCATCAGTCTTAAAACAGTCAACAATAACTCTCGTCTTTCTCTCTCCTATGGTGAGTTCATAACTGCTAGGAACCAGAATCCATGTCGGCCGAAGCTTCGAAGACGACTTCATCGGCCGATTCGTACATCGGCAGTTTGATTAGTTTGACATCAAAGAGTGAGATCAGATATGAAGGCATTCTCTATAGAATCAACACTGAAGAATCTAGTATCGGCCTTCGAAACGGTATTCAATTCTCTAATTTTGCTTTGAATTGTTCAGAAATTTGTTTGATGATCGATATCGCGCTTCAATTGCATTTCTTTGTTGATTTTGATTGAAGGATGTTGTTCTAGTGATGATTTAGGGCATGGATGTGAAAAATTTGATTGAAGGAGATTGTTCTAGTGGTGATTTAGGGCATGAATGTGAAAGTTTTGATTGAAAGAGGTTATTTTAGTGATGATGATTTAGGGCATGAATGTGAATAATTTGATTGAAGGAGGTTATTCCAATGAAGATTTAAGGCATGAATGTGAAAATTTTGATTGAAGGAGGTTATTCTACTGATGATTTTGGGCATGAATGTTAAAAAATTGCCAAATGTTAATGCTTCTATGGCTCAAATTGTGCGTTTAAGGACATATGAATCTGTTTTTGCTGTTGCTAGAAGTGTTACTGTTTTGTAGGATTTGAAATAGATTGAAACTGTTCAAAGTCGTGGATTTTCATACTGATTTCTGTGCAATTATATGGTTTCTGCATCTGGATTCAGTTCAGAGGGTAAGGATCGCAAGGTGCTGGGGTGACGGCGAGATATGAGGAGAGAGAAAGGATTTGTGGAAAGGTGGAGAAAGCCCTGAGAGGAGGGTCTAAGGATGATTTTTCCTAATGATTACTGGAGAGAGAGAGTGTGTCTAGTAAGCAAGGATGTCGGAATCCATTTGTATCTCTTCGGATAGAGAATTGTGGATTTAGAGCAAGGATAAGGGTAATGAATGAGAGTAAATTGTTTGTATATATTTGATGAAGATATATGAACCTAAAAGGGCTGCGAATAATTAAGCAAAAGGTTTTAGGGCCCATGATCTCAGGCATTATGATCTTGGCAAGCAGGATTTGTATTTTGTAACCTTTCCTTGTTGCTTGTGGAGAGAACCTCATTACTACCTATATTCCACTTGATTCCAAATCAATCTCACTTGGCATGTCTAATTGACGAGCCATCTATGGTGGAGTCTATTTTGTTATACACATTATATCGACATGATTTTCATTTACGATGTTATTTTTTGTCTGATTTTTTATATATGAGAGTGGGTTGGTTACTTTTTGTTGGTAGGTTTTGCTTATGCATCTGATAAGAATGGCCACAATGGCATAGCTAATTTGATTTCTTAAGTGATATTTAAGTCTTTGTTGTCTTGGGTCCTTGGGTGGCCTATCACTTTCACTTTTATGAAAGATATTTGAATATGTTACCCGTGTATGTTTCTGATTTTCCTTGTTAGTTGTCTGGCATTTGGGCTTATTTGAAACCTGATGAATTGGTAGAGGCTGTAACTAATTAAAAAACTTTTTTTTTTTCTTTTCACATTGCAGTTAGATCATTTGGAACTGAAGGACGAAAGAAAGATGGCCCACAAGTAGCTCCTAGTGATAAGGTTTATGAGTATATACTCTTCCGTGGCAGTGACATTAAGGTATATTACAGCATATTACTGGTTCTATGTGGTTGCTAAGTTAGCGTCTTTTAAGTGTTGAAGCTCTTTTACGAAGTATACAAAGGTTATTTATGCTATTATGGAAGGGGTTGATAGTAGTTGTGAGCCTGTTATAGTTACATCTGATTATTAGAGTGCCATACAACCATATTGCCGCGAGGGCCCATGACTGGGTAGCGTTAAAAACTGATGATAGCTGCTGTTATTGTTGCAGTAAAGAACTCTAAAATAGACGGAATCCTACAGTAAAGAAAGATTTCTTGAGTTGTTTATTCAATTATTTTCAAATAAGTCATATGACTCGTATTTTTGTTTAGACCTATAACAAGTAAAGGCTTACGGTGGATACCTAAGCACCTAGTGACGGGGAAGCTGCGAATAATTAAGCCAAAGGTTTTAGGGCCCATAAATTCATCGTCTCTTATTTGGATTTTCTAGCCCTAATATTAGCAAGTTTTCTTCATGCATTTAATACTGGGAGCAAAATACCATAGTTGGTTACTCTGCTTGCAGGTTGATGAGTAAAGCAAGATACCATAGTTGGTTACCTTGCTTGCAGTATGATGAGTAAAGCAAGATACCATAGTTAGTTACCCTGTTTGCAGTATGATGAGTAAAGAATATTGTTTTCTAACACTAATGGATGTGTTTTTTTTTTTTTTTTGTTTTTTAATTTTTGTTTGTGTGTGGGGGCGCGCGCGTGTGTGTGGAAGAGACTCAAATATTCAATCTTTATTAACTTGACTTATGGTACATCTTAGGTTAATAACTTAATAAGGATTACCTGTTTGGTTGTTCACTACATTCATTGTGTAGAAATATCTGTAAAGCTATCTGGACAGAGATGTGACTTGGATAAGTTGTATCTGGTTGCACTTTTCTCAAAAATTATTTATTCTTATAATAAATTTCTTAAACCAGGCTTTAAAGTGATTGGTTTTCTGTCTCCATCAATCTCTACTTGCAGGATTTGCAGGTGAAATCATCACCTCCCGTTCAGCCAATTGCATCAACATCTTCAGTTGACAACGATCCTGCTATCATTCAGGTAAAGAAATGCACAATTCATTTGCATGATTTATGAAATTAGCTGGGCATCTGAATCCAAGCTCATTTCTGCAGTCTCATTATCCTCTCCCGGCTTCAACATCGTCGAATGTGCCACCAGCTGTTAGTGCACCATCAGCTGATGGTAGTTCTCATGGACCCCAGCTTGGACACCCTGGCTCAAGCTTTCCAGGTGCTCTGCCTCTGTACCAGCCAGGTGGAAATTTAGGTTCTTGGGGGCCATCACCTCCTCCAGGTGCAAATGGTAGTGGACTTGCTATGCCTATGTACTGGCCTGGTTTTTACGGCCCTCCCAATGGGCTTCCTCATATGCCTCAGCAAACTTTGCTCCGACCACCTCATGGACTCGCTGTGCCACCTTCCTTGCAACAACCAATGCAATATTCTGGGTTCAATCCAGCTTTACCAACGGGATCTTCAAACATGGCTGGGCCAAAATTGCCTGAGATACCCCCTAGTTTGGTTAGCTCAAGCAGCACTTCAACTACTTTAACATCAACATCTTTACCACAATTTAATTTGCCTTCTGTGCCATCCACCGCCCTAGCGTCTGAAACATCTTTCAGTTCTACAGTATCTAAGGCTCCCAATTCTGGACTTCTTTCAACACCTAGCTTCCCGTCAATATCTCCATTGGCAATCTCTGCTCCAGATGCTAGTACCATTGCACCTGCTGTCTCTAACAAGGTCAATGCTATGTCTAGTTCAGGCTTGCCAAACATGGGTCTTTCTCAAGCACCGTCATCTGTCATCAGCTCTTCCATTTCAAGCCAGACTGAGACTTCCAAACCATCTCTGGTCACACCTGATCAACTTCTGCAGTCTGGACAACCACCAATTTCATCATCTTCATCTTCACAAGCTGCTCACAAAGATGTGGAAGTTGTTCAAGTCTCATCAGCATCACCCTCAGATGTAAAAGCAGAAGTAGTGAAGGAGGCACAGCCACCAATATTGCCCCTGCCCCCTGGGTCAAGGGCTTTCCCAAAGGTATATTGTTTATTTTTTACCTTTTGGGTCTGTTACTTGCAATAATAATCATGATTAAGACTATTATGATTCCTATCACCCATTATTAGATTTCTCTTGAGATAAGTTCTCTTAATTTATTTATTTAGCTTTCAAGAAATTTACTGTTTTTGGTGCTAGTGTCATGTTTAGCTACTAGAGTGCTTGAATCCATAGGAGCATGTCGTGTAAGATTCCTAAGATATCCAGCAAACTATGTTTGAGGTTTAGGACATACACAATAAGCATACATTAGGAATGTGCCCATAACCCTAAGTGATCAAGTGTCGTTGAAAATGAGACCATGACACATTCTGAAATTGATTTAGAAGGAAATGTTGTTCATTTGGAGACCTAAAACAAGGAGAGCGAACATGATCAACTTTCCTTTTCGTGCTAAAATATTTGAAAGAAAGGATTGGAGTATGGAACTAATCTTATTGTGCTTTACACATGGAAGAATTGCCTAAAATTATGAGTCAGGTAGCTTATTATGCCTATAACATAAACTACATTAACTACATCATTATTGGTGTTGGGTAATATTTTGTTGCCTTTTTCGTCATCCACATGGACCACATAAAACACGGGAACTATGGAAAGTTCTGTTAGTCACTGTGAAGCCTAATTTCTCTATGGCTACTATTGAAGAGTTCTTATTTGCATGGATGCTTCTGAAGTGAAGTATGCAAAGTTCTGTTAGTCACTACAAAGCCTTCTCCATGGCTACTATTGAAGAATTCTTAAATGGATGGAAGCTTCTGTAGTGAACTATGGAAAGTTCTGTTAGTCACTGCAAAACCTAATTTCTCCTGGCTACAATTGAAGAGTTCTTATTTGGATGTATGCTTCTGTAGTGAATTTCCATGGTTATGTTTTTGCCTAGTAAATTGACTTGATGAGATATTAATAAAACTTAGTTGGATCAATCTCAATGCATAACAAAATTCCAGCTTTAAATAATATTTGCTAATGGGTAATTAAAGATATTGATGGTCAAAGTTGTGTGTTGGCAAGCATGTCCAAAAGAATCAGGTAAGTTATTGTGGGACTGGGAGAGAGTATCAACTATAAATATTATGGTTCACTGACAAAATCTTGTTGCATGCAGTGCCAATGTAACATTTGGCAGTTGTTTAGTTCTAGACCTGTGGACTGTGGTAGTTATGATCTTGTTGATGTATTTTTTTTAAGGGAAAAGGGGGGTTCTTTAACAGTTGAATTTGTACAGTGTGTATTGATCTTGTTTTTAACACTCATCAGTGTTTGCTATCTATTCTTCCTCCCTTCCTTAATAGGTCCTACTTTTGTTCACTTTTAGATGTTTAGTGGTCCCTTTTTTTTTCTTTTTTTTTTTTTTTTTTTTTTTTGGGTTTTTCTACATAGTAACCTCGTTTTTTTTCACTTTTCTGCGCTGTGACCTAACATATATGACTTTCTACGTTGTAACCCTAAAGTACGAAAAGTCACTATATTGTGACCTTGCCGTTAAACTGCCGTTAGTTGCTTTCATTAGTAACCTCGTTTTTTTCACTTTTCTGCGCTGTGACCTAACATATATGACTTTCTACGTTGTAACCCTAAAGTACGAAAAGTCACTATATTGTGACCTTGCCGTTAAACTGCCGTTAGTTGCTTTCATTAAAACCCAAAAATTAAACTTTTTTTTTTTTTTTTTCATTTCCCCTTCCCCTTTCCCTTCTTCCCTCCATAACCACCAGAGCAGATCAATTGCGACCACCACCAACATGGCCCCGACCTCCCAGAATCCGGCCGCCGAACTCCATTGTCCCAGGAATCCGCCGGCATCCGTCCAGATCCCCTTCCTCTTCCCCTCCCCCGGTGCTGGCACTGCAGCTAAACCAGACCCCAGAACCACCATTGCCACCAAACCAGACCCCAGCCAACCCAGGAACCACCTCCACCAAATCAGACCTTGGAACCACCGCTACCAAACCAGACAGCCAACCCCAAAACCCCCTTCGAAAAATCAAAAGCCCACCAAACCAGACCCCATGAAACTGGTTGGGGAGGTCGGCACAACCAGAATCGACGTCGGGAGAGATTTGGTGGCCTGTTAAGGGACGGGAGACGGGGAGGGGGCTGGCCGGAATCGGGACGGGAAAGGATTTTCAAGGGAAGGGGGATGCCGCATGAGGGAGGGAGGGAGGGGTTGGCTGGGTTTTCGGGGGGAGGGTCTGGGGTGTTGGTGGTTTAGGGGAGGGGGTAAAGCGGCGCCGGTGTTGGGTGGTCGGAATTGGGGCGGGGGAAGGGGGGAGGCTGGTGGGGTGGTTTTGGGTTTCGGGTCTTGTGGGATGGTGGTTCTAGGGTTTGGGTTTGGGTGGTGGTGGGGATGGGGAAGGGGAGGGGTGGGGTTGCTGGAAATGGAGGGGGAGGGGTGGCTGACGGAGGGGGTGGCAGTGGGGTGGCTGGATGGTGGTTGGGCCCCACTAACGGAAATAGTAACAGTTAACGGAAGCAACTAACGGCAATTTAACGGCGAGGTCACAATGTAGTGACTTTTCATACTTTAGGGTTACAGCGTAGAAAGTCATACATGTTAGGTCACAGCATAGAAAAGTGAAAAAAAACGAGGTTACTATGTAGAAAAACCCTTTTTTTTGTAAAAAAAAAAAAAATCTGAAGTACAAAGTAACAGACTGTCTATGGTACGTTGGTTTGTTAGTAATTTTGTAGCTTGTAATAAGCAACATTCTTAATACGACTGATTTTCTGCTATGCAGCCTAATGGAAACCAGTATCATCCACGTCAAAACTACAACTATCGGGGACATGAAAGAGGAAGAGGAAGAGGAAGTGGGGTAATTGACATCTTTATCTTTTAGTGATTTAGCTTTAGAAGTCTTCTATTTCTGTTCTATTCTTTGATTTCAATTCATTCATATTTCTACCTAAGAAGACAGTTGCAAGACTAGCAACTTACTCTCAGTGTCAACTAACAAAGAATGGAATTTTAAATGCTTAATGTGATTTAGAGCCTGCCACCTTTTGATTATGAATTTTGAATAGTAGCAGCTCCATACTCTGTTAAACCTATTTTTCGTACAAATTGCAGTTGCACCCTTTGTGCTTCGTTTGAGGTCTAAATAAAAAAAAATGTGTTTCTCAGTCCAAAAAATTTCATCTCCCAGAATCCTCATACCCTCATATTCATCAAAGTGGCATGATCGTGATTTATTTGAAGTTTCCACGTATCTCGACTGGAAATTGCATAGAGCACTGTCTTTGCTGTGATAATTTAGGATTCTTGTTGTGTTTAGAATTTGATAAAGTTATTGTTACAATAATTTTCTGGACATGCTTTAGAGATTTGTCTGGCTTTGTCTGTCACCCCGAGATGGAACTAAATGCAGATTGTCCTTGCAGAGCTCACGTCCAGTGACACAATTTACCGAGGACTTCGATTTTACAGCTATGAATGAGAAGTTCAAAAAGGATGAAGTATGGGGTCATCTTGGTAAGAGCAACAAGGGTCACACCAAAGACAAAGATGGTAATGGTGGGGATGACTCTGAAGAGGAGGGTGAGGAGAAAGCGCCTCAAAATGATGTAACGGTACACCCGGAAAACTTCTCTGACATGATGGATCTTGAAATAATTCTGCTTTCTGGGACTTTTTCTTCCCTGCATCATAATATTTGTTTGGAGCTCTGCATTTTCTCCTCAACACTAAGGGTTAATATTCTTTCTAATGTTTGATTGGCAGCCTGTTTATAATAAGGATGACTTCTTCGATACCCTCTCCTGCAACACTCTTGAGCATGACTCCCAAAATGGGAGGACAAGATTCTCTGAGCAATTGAAGATAGATGCTGAGGTATGTGTTGTAGAAAAGATAAATGCTTTTGTTCTATTGGGTTCAATTGATATGAACTTTTATTTACTTTGGCTGCAGACATTTGGTGATTTTGTGAGATATCGAGGTGGGCGTGGTGGTCGGGGACCAAATCGTGGCGGCCGTGGTCGAGGTTCTTATTATGGAAGGGGGTATGGCTACCCTGGAAGGGGGCGAGGGCGTGGTATGTCTAGCCGGGGTTCCTGATCTGTATTGCCTGTGATGATGCGTGCATCACTTTGATTGAAATTGGTAGAAGATAACTGCTCGTGTTAACATTTGTTGATTCAGTTAGTATGGGCAAGGTTTCTATTATGTATCTTTTGCTTGTTTACAGTTATTTTTAGTTTGATTCATATTCTCCGGTGATAAGCAAGCAACTATGCAGTAGAAAGAAAATGTAAGAGCAAATTTGTAGCTTATCATTGGTTGACATAAAACTGTTCAGTGATGTAAATTGGAACTAGTTGATGGTGTGATTATTTGGTTAAGTTATGAGGTTACTAGTTTTCAATTTTCTTTTAATTACCATGCCCTTGAGAGTGTTGGATTTGTTGATTACTGCAGGACTCCCTATAAGTTGTGTTCAGGTATTCGGGTTTTACACTTGTACCGTGTAAGAATCGTGGTGTTTGGTTTTGATGGTTTGATCAGCTGAACTGAATTAGCCTTTCCATTAGCTACTTTGGGTGGTGGTTTTGATGACAATGTTGAGGATGGTGCAACTTGTTGGAGTAGGTAATAAGCTTTACAATTAAGAGGCTAATGGGATATTAATTTCTATATAAAACACACAAGATTTTCTTCTTAGATTGTTTTCCTTGTACTTTGTTTTTTAACTTGCAAAATAGTCTCAAGGCACACTTGGAGGTGATTATTATAAAAGGTAAACAAACGATTATCAAAATGATATTAACACTAAGAATTAGGAAGGCTGGAAGGGTTTGGTGGAATTGGTACTATACTAAAATATACTCGTATGAATTATTTTGATCAATTTGGCTGTTTTAATTATCTAATCGGTCAGAGTACTATAGATGCGCATTATGGACCTTAACTTTACTCTCATTATTAAAACTATTTTAGAACCCACAAATAATTTGGGATGGAGGGTGTATCGCTGAGCATCTAATTTTTCTCGACTGTCTTTGTTGTAATAAGGCTAATAACGGCCTAAAGCCTTATGAAGGCGTCATTTCCAACATGTTTAAAATAATCACAAAAGATTGTAGTAGGCTACATTATTAAACTAAGTACACTACTATAGTAAGTTTAGTACTATACTCACAACTCACTCCACTCGAGACTTGAGAGTGATACCTTCTTTACTACTTTACCAGAAATGCGCCACAGATCTAGTGCTTTGCTCAATCCAACCGTCGGTCACAACATCTAGTGTCCTTTTTGAAGCTCTACAAATTTAAACTACATAAAAATGTCATCTTCTACATTTTCACTTCTTCTAATATTTGCCAGATTATCAGCTGTTTTAGTTGCAGCACTTGTCTTAATATGGGCTCTTTTCTTCAAGTCGAGTTTCATTCACCACTCTCCTAACAACTTCATCTATTCTGTAATCTTTCTCTCTCTAATGATGAGTTGATCATGTTTATCTTGTGCTAATTATGTTTTTGCTTGATTAATAGGTGCTTCATCCTCTACTAATGGTGATTGGGTTCATAATTTTAAGTGGAGAAGGTAAGTGAAAATTAAATTTACGCTCCCTCTCTCTAGATTTAGTTGTTACTGACTACATCACTTCGTACTAGTTAAAATTACATTTTCAACGTGACTATTGATTCCGCATTGAATGCACTTTTTGAGGAAAATAACTGATTATTTTGTGATTTAATTTGGTGGGTTTTCAGCCATATTGGTACATAGATGGATGCCAGGGTCAAGGAATATGAAGAAATTAGTGCATTTGGGGATGCAAGGCGTGGCCTTGGCTTGTGGAGTGTTTGGAATTTGGACGAAATTTCATGGAGAAAATGGAGTTCTTGCTAATTTCTACAGCTTACATTCTTGGATGGGTGTATTTTGTGTCTCTCTTTTTGGCATTGAGGTTTATTTTCTTGTCTCTTTCTCATATATTTATTTGATTTATGCATTATTAAACTCTATTTGTACATAAAATATTAAGGAAAAGGCATTGACATTGAACGAATCTCTATTTTAGTATACTAATGCACTTACTTATCTTGGTAATTGAGGGCTTAGCTCTCATCCACCTAACACCTATGGAGTAAGGACTAAGGACTATAATATGTAGTAATTATCTGTTATACTTCGTAACTCGTATATGTTATTTTACTTCATTTTCTACTCTACTACTCTGCAGTTTAATTATTCCTAACATACTTTTATTTATTACGAAATAAATAACTATATGTCCAAATTTACGTGTCTTGTTAATAAATCAAATCATGCTACTAATTTGTAACAAGTTAATCAGCATGAAAAATGTTTAGATATTTTTCTACACTAATGAATTTTTTTTACATAAATCATTAATTATAAATTACTAGGGTTGCTTATGAGACAAGACAGCTTGCGAGCTACTTGGTCAACACTCGACTCGACTAAACTAGGCTCAAGCTCGAGCTCAACTCGGAACTCTAACGAGTCGAGTCGAGCAAGCCACTACTCGACTCGAAAAGCTCGTGAGAACCTCGATATAATTAACATTTGTTTTTGAATATATTAATATACTTTAAACAATTTTTTAAAAACTTATTTCTTAATTAAGTCTTAGCTTTAAAGGATAATGCATTAAGATAAAAAAATATAAACATTATAATTTTTTTTGTAATCACAATATCATACGAATTATACAAGAACATTAAACTAAAAACACACTATTACCTTACTTAAATCAAATAATACAATTCTTCAAGAAAATAAGGCAAATTTAGATTGTATAAGTAATAAAATGTTAAGGTCGTTGGGTATAAAATGTTATGTATATTAGAATGTTGATTGTATGTATAGAATGATAATAATAATATGATGTTATACTTCCTCAAAATAATATGATCAAAAAATTGTAATGAGGTAGAATAGATCGAATGAGAGATATATAAGAGAGCACTAATGGTATTAGCTAGATGATCTACAAACTCACATTCCCATATTGAAGTTTTGGAAAAGAAGATGGGTAAGAAATGTTACAAAGGTAACACAAATATTGTATTTCATATTAGATAATTAGTGTGGGCCTTATATTAAGACATGCTATTGAGTTCAAATTCAAGTTGAGCTCAAATCGATCTTGAGCCGAGCCCAAATTGAGCACGAGCCGAGCTTCATTCAATCTTGAATTCAAGCACGAGCCAAGCTTAAATCGAGCTTTATTCGAACTCGAGTCAAGCTCGAGCTTAACTATTGAACTAACAGTCGAGTTTGAGCTTGAGTTTTCGAGCTTGCGAGTTTCCGAGCTCGAGTTGAGCTTGAGTCAAGCCTAACGAGTTGAGTTTAGTGATACTTGAGCTCGACTTGCATCATAATCAACCCTATACATTACATTGGGATTTAAAAAAAAAGTCACTTGGATTTAAAAAAAAAAAGTCACTTTAGAGGCATGATTGATGGCCATGGGCAATGACAATGATCCCTCCCCATTCCCTCTTGAAATATTGGAATAGTTAATGAAAAATGTGGTCCTTTATCCTCTTTCCCACCCATTCAAAGTTCAAATTGAATAGGACCCAATAGGCCCAGTGCAAAATGTTAAATGTTGGTTAACTTGAGGCATATTTTAGAATTTGGTTTGATTGTACCGATTGGTTATTATTTTGGCAGACACAAATAAAATTAATTTCTCTATACCTCTTTTATCCTGAACACCATGATCAAATGAATTAACACATTAGTTTTTAATCTAACTCATTTTTAGCAATCATTTGTTATTAATCTTGGAGGAATGAATGAATGCAGTGGGTGATGGGTTTCCTAAGCTTTTGGCACAGAGGAGAAGTCCGGAGAGTCAGGATGAAAGTGCTGCCATGGCACGTCTTCCTCGGCCTATACACGTACGGTATGGCGGTTGCAACAGCAGAAACAGGTCTGCTAGAGAAGCTAACATTCATGCAAACTAAGAGAAACCTACCAAAGCGAAGTTCAGAATCCATTGTTGTAAATGGCCTTGGATTAGGACTTGCATTTCTTGGTGGCATTGTCATTTTCGCCGCTGTTTCACCTAAACAAGGCCATTACACAACTCATCCAACAAAGGCTATCTAGTATCTATTCCAACTACAGATATTAGTCAACTAGGGGGTATGGAATTAGACTTTCTTACACTAAAAAAAATAGGTACAATCAAAACATAGATTATAGATCTCTCATGTAACTCGTGGAGTTTAAATTCTTAGTATATTCAAATTTAGTTGTCATCAAGTCAATAATGTCTTAAATATATACTCCTATTTCCTTTTATTTTTATAAGGAAAAGTGTTAAAAAAACCATTGAGAGATAAAAACTGCGTCAAATACACTTTAAGATAATGGAAAACATAATCTATTGTGCATTTTTTTTTTGAGGAAATAATTTATTGTGCATTTAATATATTTTGAAATAGCGAAAAGAGTAATGATATATGCAGCCCTAAACATTAAACACATTTTTGAGAATTGTACAAAGTTAAAAATTAATGACAAAAATACGCATAAATTAGTGTAATTAATGATTATTTTTTCTAAAAACATGCATAGATGAGTATATTAATGTTAAATAAGTATATATATTGAAAAAGTAAATAGATCAGTGCAAACAATTGGAATGAATAGAGTTTTATGTATTTTATTTGACTTTATTAATTGGCTTTCTTTTCCATTCATTTCTACGGAATATTAACTTAAACATTGGAAAATAAAATTTCCTTCCTTTCTCTTTTTTTCCTTCACTAATACTCCCTCCGTGTTTTGATGTTTGTATTACTTTGACATATGCTCTATTTACAATCTCTTGACTTAATTTTTTTTATTATTATAAAATTATTAGATGTTATTATGAGACTGGATTAGTTATAATGTCTATTTTCATAATTTATTTTTACTAATAGACACTAAAGATATTGCTGGTAAAGTTATGTCTCGGGAAATACACTAGTGAAAGTGATGCAAAAGTTAAAAAAATAGAGGAAATATTGAACCAAATAAAGCCTTACAATGTGTTTGGATTGAAGGAAATGGAGGGAAGGAAGGAAAGGGAAATGGAGAGATGGGATATCTTTCATTTGGATAACAAATGAGGAAGGAAGAGAATTAGAGGGGAGAGAAATGAAGGTATTAAATAGTAGGAACTTGATCTCTCCAACAATGGAGAGATTTTTGAAAGGAAAACTCACCATTCTTCCTTCCTCTCCCTTCCTCTCCCCTCCTCTTCTTCTCCCTTCCCTTCTTTTCCTTCCCCTTTCTTTAACCAAACATACTAATGTGAGATAGTGAAAGGATGTTAGGTTGATTAATAATAATCTATAATTTCACTATTCGTCTAGCCTTAATTTTAGAACGTGTTACATATAATGATATAATAAGTGGTTCGGGTATCCAACGTACCCTTGTGAGTATTATTCCTGCCCAAATAAAGTAATATCCATTAATTTTTTTTTTTTTAAATTTTTGAAAATTGAGTTTGTATGAGTTTGTGATGAGCTTATAAATTAACACAATTTATGTATTAACACAAATGAGTTCTTTCCGAGCCTAAAGGGTTCAAGCACGGTTTTGTTTACTAATTTCAACCTTGTTTGTTTACTTAATGAACGTGCTTTGACCGAACCTGCTCACGAGCTGTTAGCAAGTGTATCAGCTCATCGACACCCTTAAATATAAGTATCACTTCGTATGTAAAGACAACTTTTCAATAAGTAATCGAAATTCCGATAGTTTTTTTTTTAAAAAAAATTAAAATATAATTGTTTTTTTGGAACCAGTTAGAGTAGGGATGACAATGGGCGGGTCGGATGCGGATGGTACCTCCATAGCCATATCCGCCTAAAAATCTTATACTCATCCCCGCCCCACCACCCGTGGCGGGTACAATATCCACATCCATACCCACCCCGCCGGATACAAAATAGGATCCATCTTCGTCCCACCACCCACTTAGATATCTATACCCACCCCAAAACTGTCCCAAGCCCACTACCATGATGTTGTATTGTATCACATTAATGACAATTATATCAAATTAGGTTAAAAAAATTGGGACTCTTACTATGTAATACCTCGTATTTTTATATGTATTTTAATTTAAATATGTATTTCTTAAAGTATTTAAATAATTCAAAATGAATTATATATGGCGTTTCATTAATTTAAAAAGAATTATTTTAATTAAAAGTTTATTTTTAATTATTTAACAATCTTGAAAATATTTTATTTCATGATTTGGAAACTTTGGGGCATATTGCTTTATAAAAGAAAATTTTAAAGTCAATGAGTTTTTAAAGAAAGTCAAAATACTAGTTTGACTAGGAAAAAGATCATTAAGGGTAAAAAGGAAATTTAAGTTTAGGAGGGTTTTAGAAAAGGAAGTATAAATACTCATCATATGGGCAAATTAAATTTTACCCAAGGTGGAGAATGCCCAAAGGTAACTCTCTTTCTCTCTCCCCTTATTTTCTCTCTTTTTCCCTTAATTTTTCCCCTTCCCCTTTATTTTAATTTTAATTTTTTTTTCACCACTACCACACACAGCTCACGGGGTGGCCGGCTGCAACCACCACCACAGCCGGTCGCCGCCGCCAGCACAGGGCCGGCAATAGCAGCATCCGTGGGTGTGTGTTTGTAGAAAAAAAAATCTCTTTTGTTTTTAATCTTAATCTAGCCTTGATATAATTATTGTTTTTGGGCTTTGTGATGATTTTTATGATGTTTGATAATAAATATTTTGTATATAAATTTTCAGATTTGGTTTTGAATTAAAAAGCCCAAAATTATAAACTCTATGTTTCTAAGTTTATGTATATTGATGGAAATTGTTTATGGGTGATTTCAATTATTGAAATAAGTGTTTTAAAACACAATCACAACAATTTTAGATGATTTAATAAAACTGGAATTTTTTGATATATAAGCTATAATTATGTTTCTTGAAAGGATTTTTAATTACCCATTAATTGGGAATAAAAGTAAGGGTTTTAAATTAAATTTCAGCTTATTTTAGAGGGTTTATGAGTGATTTAAAGAGTGTATATATTGCTGAAACTTTCTGTGGAATAAATATTAATGCCTCTTTGTAATTTTGGTTTGTAGGAGACTTCCAAGTGAGTGATTTTATTTAGTCGTGGCGATTTTGAGATCATATTCAAGGTACGTTCGCGTACTTGGTAATTATTTGAATATGTAGAAGCATGCTAGGCTTTGTTTAATTAATTCCAAGTAGTATCATGATAGGTGTTGGTTGGAATTTGTTGATTGGATTGATGTTGATAAATGATTTGTGATGTATGAATTGTTTGTGATGAATTGGTGATTGGAATTAATTATGTTGGCATGTTGATTATGAACCACACTTTTATTGTTGGCATGATAGAGAGCATGTTTAATTAAACAAAATGTTTACTTTGGTTTGGAATATGAAAAGGAAATTTTATTATAGTTCATATAATTTTTATTGATGCTATAAGCATGAGGGAGGAGCTATTTAAGTGTCTTAGTACACAGGAATAAATTATATTGCGATGCCTATGTGCACTTAAGGTGTTATTTAACACCCAGGGATAGGATTTGCGGCGCATTATGCGTTTAAGGTGTCTTTGACATCGAGGTAGATTAAAAAGGGTTTAACAATTAAATTTATGTGGTCACTAATTATTCAAGAATTAAATTGGTATGTTTGATTGTTTGAATGAAGTGTGATGTTTGATTGTGTTATGGTCACTAATTGTTTTAATGAAGTCAACTCAAAAGTTTTTCAGGTGATGAAGCATTTTCATAATGGGCATAAATGAAAAGAATCATGCTTAGTTTTATAGAATATGATGTGTTTTATTTGCTTTGAATATTATTTATTTTACTGTGTTCATGAGACTAACGTAAAGGTTTTCAGTATTGTTTGGTTTTAAGGGCCTACGATGGTTCCAAATTGTAGGTTGACTTTATTTGATTTTGTTTGACTTTACTTTCGTTTGGTTTGACTTTTGAGTTGACTTGTTTTGAATGGTTTTAAAGAAATACTTCCGTTGTGTGTCTTTGATATATGCCTTGATCATTTTCACGGTGACGGTAATGTCTTAGATTTTTCCTATTTCGTATTTCAAAAAGGGCAAAACAAGTATTTTAAAGGAAAGAAATTTCTAGGGTGTTACATACTATTTGGACGGATTAGGCCTATGGAGGTATTAAATTTCATAAATTTTAAACTCTTCTAAAAGAAATATGGGACGAGTATAGGGCGGGTACGGGGCGAGGCGGGTATGAGGCGGGTCTGCTCTAAAATCCATACCCACCCCATTACCCATGGCGGATACACATTTTATACCCATCCGCGCCCCATCACCTGCCAAACCCCCCTCCATCTCCGCCCCATTTTTGGGAGACCCGACCCACTGTCATCCTTAATGGGAGACCCGATCCAGTGCTATCCTTAAATTAGAGTATGATTTTGATATACCGCAATATTATGCTGCCAAGACAGAATTTCCCTCACAAGTTCAAAATATGCATTGACTACCATCTCTCATCAGAATCAGAATCAGCCATCAACCAACTAACTACTCAACCCTAACTCATCATCCCACTACAAACTCTTCAATCTCTCTCCCTAAACCCTTCCAATTTTTCAAACAAAACCAAAAAAATGTGCAGTTCAACAACAACTTCTCCAACTTCATTCTCTCTCCTCCTCACTGACACCCACTCTCTCTCTCCTCGCCGCCATCTCCACCTTCCCTTCACTTCTCCGATCACTCTTCTCTCTCATCACAGCCTTGGTAAACCCACCCTCCGCCTTTCTTCCGCCATTGCTGACAAATCCTCCTGGGTTCTTCCCGATGATGATGCAACCGATGATTTTGGTGGTTGGGCTGTTTCTGAACCTCTGATTCCCCACAAAAAGAAAGGTTTTTTTTTTCTTTTTTTTTTAATCCGATTTTGATGATAAATTGCTGATTAATTTTGATTTTGAAATGGGGTTTTTGTTTTTTAATTATAAATATTTGGTTGTTGGAATTTGTGTAGGTTATCCGACATTTTTGGTTGCTGGTATTGGGACTTCAATTGCTGTTCTTGTCGCTGCTTTAGCTCATTTCTCGCTGTCGAAAAATGGTTAGCCTTTTGAATTGTATATGTTTTGGCGATAATTTTTAAGCTAAATGATAATGTAGTTTCTAAGGATAGGAATTTAACAAAGGAAGCATTAAACATTGATGACACTGATCAATGCGTGATTTTGTCATGAATAATGTACCCAACTAAGGAAATGTATTTATGTATGCTGAATAGCTTGTATAGCTAGCGTGGTTGATAAGCTTTATGCCTAAATGAAGTGATTTTTGTTTGATTATTGCTCCCATTGTGGTTGGAAAGATTTTGCGGGTTTGGGCTCTTAGTGTATAGTGTTATATGTCCAGGATTCAGATTGCCATTTAGAAGTTCATCTCCTGGTTCTTTAGTAGAAGTTGCCGTTGAAGTTGTTGAAACTAAACCTATTGATTTTCATGAACCTGAACCTGAGCTTGAACTTGATGTGGGAATTGAAGTTTCTGAGACGTCTCAGGCAGATTCTTCTGATGTGGTGTCAAAGTCTGTGAAATCAGGTATGTTTCTGATTATAATTCAAGCTTTTTTGTTATAAATAATTTTGCAACTAGAATTTTTGTGACTTTAGTGAAAAAGCAAATTATTCTATCTTATGATGATGAAACATCAATGTACCTGACATTGTTTCTTATTAGACTTTGTTGTTTGTATGAAAGCTGGCTACTTGGCTAGTATGTAACTTCTAGAATCCGACTAAGTTCTTTTTTGAGGCAGTCAATGTCTTCGGCAGCTTCTTGAGACAATTACAGTAATATTCCATAAGGATGAAAGAAATATAAAAACAAAGAATGAAAAGTTCAAGTAATGTATAAAAATTTCTAGTTGAAGAACTAATTTAAGTGATTTGAATGTATAGAGAAACACCCCTGTGTAGCTGTCCCAAAAACTCAAAAGTGACAAACCTTTTGGGGAGGAGGATGTACCTTACTGAGCACCATGTAAAGACAGCCTGATAAAGAACCAAATGAAATAAGTAATATGATACGGTTACAATATCACTTTGTCATTTATTTATCTTTCTACTGCTCCCATTATTTCCACTTCCCTATTTGTGGTCTACTTGTCTATACATTTGAAGTTTTGTATACTACTTTTTTGCTTGGACAGTTTATGTGCTCTCTAAGTTTCTTTAACGTGGTTCATTTGGTATTTTCTCACTTTGTTACTTTAGATTTTAGCTGCACCTCTTGCTTTATCTTCCCCTATTGAGCCTTTTTCCTCATTTCCTATATTTGTCTATATTTTTGCTTTTCAATGGAGGATTATGCTTGGCTTTGAAATTGAGTGTAAACCAAGATAGATTCTTTTCTAGTACTCACGAGGTAGATAGATTTATTACATCCTGCTAACAATAGCTGGAGTTTGATTTGTAGAAAAGCACCAAACTCGTGTTGTTGATGTTGCTGTGGATTCCAATCAGCAAGAAGCTATGCATGCTTTGAGAAAACTGAAGGTTTGTTCCTTGAAATACTGTTTGATGTTCTTTTTACTTGTCACTTTTATTGGAGTAGCTTCTGTAATCTGATAATGTATGATCGTTGCTGCAGTAGTTTCCTTTATAAATGAATTATATGGTGCTGTGATATAAAAGGCTTGATAAAGGCTTCTTAATTACCATTGCTGTTAGTCTGTTACATTTAAAGGGTGCAAACATAAACATTATATGGTAACTGTCTGTTTAACATATTGGCCTATTTGACGATTGAAAGAAAAAGCTAATGAGTAGCCTTGTCAGCTCAGGCAAGCTTACTCTTTAGTTGCCTGACCTATAACCTCTTTTGGGATGATTATAGGAGTATGTCATTTTAGGAGTCTGCTATAAATTATACGGATTCACTAATGTAGAAGGCCATTATTTAATTGCTTTGAATATGATTCTCAAGTCACAAGATTAGTGTATAGTATGTTGCACACTTTTGGCGCGTGCTCATTTTTCTTGCTAACTGAGATGATTATGTTCACTCTTTTACTACTTTGATAGATGACTTGCTGTTTGATTGTATGTAATAAACTATGATTAGTATTGTGCTTGTTTTTGTTTATATTATATCCTTATTCTCTTATGATCTAAGGTTTGGTTTGTTCCCTGAACTTTGATCGTATTAATACATCTATATATCAGAAAATAGGTATTAAGTGGAATCCTATTAAAGATATATAGCAACAAGCAAATAAAAATAAGAAGATATGGCACAGTATGGTCTGATCTTCTACCTCCGTTTCTTTTTTTGCAACAAATGAATTTTCTGTCTCACATAAAATACCCCTTTGGTGCAAATAAAAAGAAACATTGGTAGTAACCTTTTTTGGTCTAAGTAATAAGTTCTTGAAACTTTGAAAGATCATGTGGTTGTCCATATATCCTAAAGTGTTGCTGCAGAAGTGCAGATGTTTACTGGGTTGTTATAAACTAACTTATCTTTTATAACAAAAAGTTTTAAACTAGTTGAGTTCTGAGCATAGTATTCTGAAATGTGGTTAAGATACGCAGATTTTAGATGAAGATGTCAAGGATAATGAGCTCTGCACCCGGAGAGAATACGCAAGGTGGTTAGTTCGAGCTAGTTCATTATTGGAAAGGTACCAAAGTTTTAGTATGTTACTTTTTAGTAATGGTCAAGTATCTTTTTCTGATTGTTGCAATTTTCTAGTCTTAACTTGCCAGAAATTCGTAATATAACTTTTTGCATCTCTTTATTGTATGTTATGCTTGCCTTGTAGGAACCCAAAGTACAAGATTATACCAGAAGTTGCTCTCTCTGGGTCAGTAACTTTTGCTTATGAGGATGTGACTAATGTAGACCCAGATTTTGAATCCATACAGGGTAATGATTTATTATTCAATCTCTTCTATGGAATTTGTGTACGTTAACTAAAAAAAGTGAGTTGCCAATGCATTTCAGCCCTAGCAGAAGCTGGTGTTGTGCCAAGTAAACTATCATTGAAGCATATTGATGGAGGTTTGAATTTTTCTCCTGAAAGGTACTGCGTAACCAAGTCCTGTTATATGCCTGAATATGTTGGTATGATTCAAACAGAATATTCAAGTGATTTTTGACTCTTCATTTTAATTTTGTAGAATTTTATCTCGACGGGATCTAATAGAATGGAGATCCCAGCTGGAATATGATTTATCCACCTCACGAAATCCTGAGGTAGAAGTTTTTCAGAATATTGCTGTTAATGCTTGGCTATTCTTAGCTTATTAAGATGATTTTTCAACTTCTAGAGACTGACTCTTTAACAGTCCAGTTTCTGAAAACAAAATTGGACCTAATGGACGCGAGGAGGACAAACTCAGATGAATGGCCAGGACTTTATATGGATATGCTTGCTGGGGACAGAAGCCTACTTAGAAGAGTGTTTGGTAGGTTGCTAGCCTTTTTATTCTTACAACCTCTTATGTACTACATAGAAAGAATTTTGGGCCTCAATACATGTGTTATCTGGTTATACCCTACAGAAAAGTTGTCAGATAAGACTGGGGGGACCCGGTATCCTAAGAGGTCTTCTTGGTTATTAACACATTTTGCACACATTTTTATGTTGATGACACTCTAAGTCATCTGACTCTCTGAGGCATCCTTGTCCTCTGCTGTTAAAGCTCCGTAAGCTGGTGTCTAATTTCAATCTCATTGCAGGACAAATCAGGCGCCTTCAGCCAGACAAACCTTCAACAATAGCACAAGCAGCTGTTGCACTGACAAGTGGCCGCATGATAGAAGCCATTCAGAGTGAGTTCTTAAGATTGCAGGAAGAGGAATCTTCTAGAGTAGCTGCAAAAGAAGCGATCAGACAGGAGTTATTAGATCGAGGGGAAATAGAGAGGTGGTGGGCTGAAAAGATGGAAGAGGAGAAGAAACGGGGCCTAAAAGTGCAGCAGTTATATGTAGATGCTGTCAACCTTTTGGAACAAGAGAAGATTGTTCAAGAGGGAGCTGTAAATGGGTTTTTGAAGGAGAAAGCTGCAATGGACTGTCAGAAGCAACTTTTAGAGGCTCTGAAGGAGGAAATCAATGAAATTTCTGAGAGGCTTGCATCAGAGAGAACTGAACAATCTTCTGACGAGGAAATAGTGCAAACTCTTCGTTCTGATTTACAAATAAAGAAGGAAGGAATACTTGATGCCAAGTCTGTGCTAGAGGCTGAGATTGAAGCTCTTCGAATCTTGAGGTAGAATTTCCTGATTTTGAGTCTGAACATTCCAATTTTTATATTTAGTAACAAAGAATAATGTAAAGCTGCTGGTTTATGATGGCCTTTAAATTTTTTTTAAAATATTGATCTCACTAAAATGATTCTGAATAAACTAGCATCTTCTGGTTCGCATAGTAACAGAATAGTAGCAGTTTAAATAATGTGAGTTAAGTCTTTAGAATCTATTTATTTAAGATTTCATTTTAGCTTATGCCTTCCCAGTATTCATGGTGTTCATATATAATTACCAAGTGACCGACAAGAATATTATTGTTTTATTTTTTAAAAAAAATTATTATTATGAGGGCAGAATGTTAATGTTTCTGCATCCATTTAAATGTTTAGTATAAATGACACTAGTTTAGTAAAATTCCTTTCAAGTTGGACTTAGTAAAGCCACAAATCTTATTAGGTGAAGCTTTATTAGCCATCCTCAAATATATATGACCATTATTTTGAAACTGGGAGAGTAATTGCTACAGGTTAAAGTGCCTATTTCTCATTAATCATTCTCTCTCTTGATGCAGATCTTGGATAGAAGATGAAGCAAAGAAAAGCAAAGCTCGATCAAAGGTTCTTGAGGAGGTGGGCCGAAGGTGGAAATGGGATAGTAAAAAATAATAAGATATGCTTTAGGAATAGGAAGATTGATTTATTGCTCTGGGAAAACATAAGGATTTTTTTTGGTTGTCTGATCACTTCTGTGTAATAACCTGCCTCGGGGACCTTGTAAATTTGTAATTAGATTAGGGCCTGTGTTCATCTGATTTTCACGGCAATCTTCTTCATACCCAATCTACCTGACATGATTTTGGCACTGTAAACTCTGTATATATGTTGATGGCAAAGCTGCCATTGCACATGAGTTCAAGTCCAATAAAGTATAAGATATTTGCTGCTAGCGGATTTTATGTGGTGAGAAAATACCCAGTTTTTGACAAGCCATGTTAGCCTAAAGAGAAAGTGAAAATACAGGCTACAAAAGTGGAATGACAGAAATTATCAGCTGTTGTGGATAATTTAAGCTGGGTCAATCTTGTAACCACATGAATAATGCCAACGACCACACTATAGAGGAAATTTCTAAGACTCTGAACTGATTAGATTTATGATAATTAAATGCGAAAGTATTGAGAAACTGAATTTATAGGTTCCATATTAGAACCATACAACAGGGATTATTGATGAGGTTACAGAAGACTAGTAACTGAATGAATGAACAATAACTTCGATTCTTCAGGAGCTCAAAAGTGGATTGCAATAACTTCATAAAAATACCGTATCAAGTTATCCCAGGCTTTAAAATGCAGCTCTATAAATGGTTAAATTACCAATTTGTTAGCACCTCTGAAGGGCCAAAAGATATGTTACAACCTTATAACTTTGATCATCAGCCCATGCTTCTGATATATCAATCACTTCGAGAGAATCACTATTTCATTGTAATTACAAGACTTCTGTCTGTAAATTTAGCACCTCCTACCTTTCCTTGAATACCACGTGGTAGCATGATGACTTTCTTTGGTCCCCGGCTTCCACCAGCAACTCTGATCCACCTCGATACTGCATGTTTATAAAAGCATTCTAAGAATCAGTAAAATGGATAAATTCATTGAAACATAAAGGGGTAGGGGAGATCAGTGAAATAATTGTAAGCAGATGAAAACAATATAGAGATAAATCATAACTGTCTTGTTACAGCTACTTTTCAGCATGTTATCTTAAAATCACAGTAACACTCATGATGTGCTTTAACTAGGGCAATAGACGAGAATTTTTTTTATTAAGCCCTGTATCACTTCCTCACTCAAAGCACACAACTTTGCATCACTCATCTCTTTTGTGAAAACTACAGAAAACACGACTTATTTGAATAACCTGGTGACACTGCGAGTGGCTCCTTGGTGCGGTGGAATAGTCTCTAGGCGCTGCAAGCGTTTTTTGTTTTCGAAAGTTTCTCTTAAGCAAGGACATACACATACAACCAAAAGGTTACCAGGAAAAAATGAACCGCGGGACTGGCTCAATGGACGCTGGATCAGTGTCTCTAGGGTAAGTGGTGAGGACTAGCGGCGGCACTGGTAATTCCCATTTCAATATTCACTATAATTATGTTTTATTAGAGCTACATTCCCAGCATTTTGTCTTTTTACATCACAGAAACACTTAGGATGTACTTTAAAAAGTAGTCTAGGTTCTCATAGCAAAGACATACACTTCAAAGGTTACCAGGAAAGAATGAAGCCAGTGACTGGCTCAGTGGCCATTGTATTAGTGGTGATGGCTAGTGGCAGCACTGTCAATTCCACTCACTACACAATACTATCTTGTCACCCCTCACCCCCCTCCCTCTCCCCCCCAAAAAAAAGAAAGGAAGTTTTGTACTCATAAACGTCTATAAACCCATAAGTTGTTTTCATTATTTTGCTAGAAAAGAATGGACTAGTCAAACAAATATCATGTTTTGTAGTTGACCTTGGAACAGTATCAGGAAATGCAACTACAGAGCATAGAAGGCCTATGACAGCACCAAGAGGAAGTAGCCAAGGATACCTGATAGAGCTTGATCTCTGACTTGGCAAAACCAGGCATGAAAAGAGTGATACATCTTTTTAATGGATCAAACTTGACTGGGGACATTATGTTTTTAGGTTTCTCATTTGGAAGATGCAGAAGTTTTCTTGCATTTTTACCCTCAGCAGGCGAAATTATCATATCCCAATCCAAGGAAGAATGTTTTCCGAGATCTGGTATGCAAGCAAATGGAAAAGGCAAGAAAGTATCTTTGACACTTTCCACAGATTCCACAGAAGACTGTTGAGAAGCTTTGCCTAGTACTCCAGAAATATTTGCACCAGCTTGTATTGTACATCCCCAGTAACGCAATGCAGTATTTATAGATATGGGATTGCATGGATCTGTTACAATGTAGCAGCCAAACTTCTGTGGATCTGCAAAGGTTAAAGCTCCTCTCTGGAGATAGAAAACCAATGCAATCAATTACCATGTTTCACAGAGAACTGTTGTTGTGTGGATAAGAATCTCCAATACCTCAAGAATCCTCTCAAGAGAATCCCAAATTTCTGAACTCAATTTCCCATTGAAAGTGGAGCTACCTCTACTTGAATGCATGGCCTCATCTACCAATCTTAACATTGATGGACTAGCCAATCTTCCAAAATCAGTTTTTCAGCTATGCTACGTAGATACTTAACATACAGCCTGCAAAACAGAAGCATAAGTTCATTTAAAAAAAAAAAAAAAAAAATAGAAATAAGTAGACAAACTAAGCAGTCAACAAATGTTTTTCATTCCATAATTGCTCTAGAAAAAATCAGAGGGCTTAGAGCATAGGAAAATTCATCACCTTGCACTGCTTGCAGCACTTATCAATCGTAAAGTCTCCTCAGTACTTACACCATCATATATGACAACATCAAATTTGTCCTTGATATCAGTTCTCAAAGCTTTGATTCCCAAAGTTCCAACAAACTTTTCAAGGGCTAAATTAGAAAAAATAGAATCCATTCCAGGAAGCACTCCCAGCTCTTCCCCAACAATCTATATTCACAACATATAAAAATGAGTAACTTAATACACGAATCTCACAAGAGACTTTCATATTATAGTTCAATAACACTAGTAGTTGTTACATACCCACCCCTTCAAGGGCCCCTTGTGTCATGTTAACACTAGCATCCGCTTTCTTTAGCCGCTTAAGAGGATCAAGGAGCATCTACATGTATCATAAAGTTATTAGCTTGAGAGCAGACATGTTCAAAAGTCCTCCAGTTAGAGCAAAGGCAGAGACAAGGCAAGAAAATACACACTTTAGTTGTTTCCAACCTAACAGCTGAAAGGTTATCGCTACATATGGCCGGTGTTGTTCCGATACTGCAATTCAGCAGGTATTCAGCAGTGAGGTTCATTGAATGTGTCACCAAGCATGTGCTAAGTCCTGCTTTTGCATAGTGCTGGTTCAAAAAAAGAACTATTGTTAGAGATAATGACAAAGATTAAGCTCGATTACAACATGACTAATAAAAACACAGATTCAAGTGAAGAAAATTCATGGTATAATGAAAATAGAACCACTAATTGTCAAAGAATATTGTGCATCTATCACCCCATATGCGTTACCTTGTAAATTACGGAGTATAAGCTATAGTTTATTATGACTATGAATTATTAAAAAAATAAAAATCCTTCCAAGAGTAGTGAGAAGAGGGGATTAAGTGCCCAAGCATAAATTTGGCTAACTCAATTTCAATCCCAATTTTGGTTAAAAATCTTTATCAGTTTTGGGTAAGAAAAATTAAATGCAAATTCCTTCTCCAGCCACCAACATTCTCGGAACCAAAGGTTGGCCTCGTTGGACAACCAGTATAGTAGTATAAATGGAAATTTACAATTACTATTCATAATATGAAGCACCTAAGTATCATAACATATCCTACCAAAGAACACCAATCATAATCTACAATCTTAATCAATCCAACTACATCTATTATCAATCTATATCCATCTTTTACAAGCTAACTATACTCCAATATTCGACACCCGAAACAATCATAATCTATACCCCGAGGATAGCTAACGTTTTATCTGTTATAGTCTCATAGAACAAACCAACAAAGGAACATCAAAGCTTTCCTCTCAGAACAACCACAATGTATCCTACTTGATACACACAAATACAATCATAGTTTACAATCTTACTAAATTTATCTACATCTATTATTAGTTTATAGCCTTCTTTTCAAGCAACTTTCCAGAAATCCTAAATAATCTTAATCAAACTCCATGAACATCAGAATTTTTTTTTTTTTTTTTTTTTAAATTTAACCACCAATCTCAATGTAGTTGAATTATTTCAATATTCAATAGTTGTATTTATAATTGACAAAATATACTGTATAAAATAATTGAAATAGGCAAATAAACAATAATATCATCAAAATTATAATAAAAATGGGAAAAATAATCATTATAATCAAATTGAAAGAAATGTGTACGAACTTTAGCAGCAAAGACAGCAGCAGTGGTCTTTCCAGAACCTCCTTTACCCAGAAAAGTAATCAATTTTGTCGAACTTTCATCGGAATTTTGGTTGCTGGAATTAGCTTGCATAACTAATTGTAAAGTTTTTCTTCCTCTTCTTCTTATTCCAGTAAATTGTGGACGAGTAAATTCGATGAAATTAGGGTTTGAGGAAGTTGAAAATGGAAGAAATGGTAGTGATTGAAGAGAGAAAGAGAGAGAATTAGACATTTTTTCTTGGTAGTCCTTTCAGTAGTACAGTTCTGGGTTTCAAAAATAATAATTTAAAAGAAAAATTAATTCTAATAATCTCATATTTGACGGGTTCACGGTTAATAATCCCACCTTTTGATTATTACTTAATAATCTCACCTTTATATGAGATTTTCTTCTAATTGTCCCTTTGTGACCAATTACCTATACAACGCAATTTCTACCCTACTCCTGGAGTACCGTGAGCATGATACTCCAGGGTTAAATAACGTTATTTAATTGTTTGGACATTGATACATAGTCAGCCTTGTCCCTCTATTATCCCTTCCTTTTCCCTGTTTTTCCTTTTTTTCTTCCTGCTATACTTAGTTTTCTCTATTTTCTTTCAAATTTTGTGAATCCAATCAATTTTTTCTTCCAATTGCAATTTCTATAACTTAAAAACGACACTAGTTTAAGATAGAATAACATAAGATATGGTTTATTTGAATATCACATGTTTAAAACAAAATAACAATAGACTTTAAATAGAATAACATCAATTTGTGTACGAAATAACACGAAGTTTAACCTAAAATAACGCATAACTTGATAACTGAATAACTTAAACTTCTAATGAAAATAACATAAGACGATATTAAACAAAAT